AAATGTTACACTTTTTTTTTACACACTACATTTTAATTACACACTGCTGGCCCTTTTGTTCTCATTCAATAAAATTTAAATAAACATTAAATATACAGTGTAATACCGTTAAACAGGTGGTGTGACATAAAATGAGCTATATACAGAGGAATCGGTATTTGTTTGATGCAGTTTTCCTCTCCCTGCATGTAAACTTAAACAAATCCCAATATACTGCATCTTGCAAGTTATTTACATGCCACATCTCTTGTCGTTCTTTACAGAAACTATTTGTCTATGGACATGAGTAAGATCACTGGGTTAGCGAAGTACGTTGAGCCTAAAGCTGGAGTTTTTATTGTTACAAAGGTTGCTCTCTTTAAACCTGGCTAGATCTCCTTATGCTGCACGCCTAACCTGCTCCGGAGAAAGTTACTTTCAGATGCTTGGATTATGTTCAGATACAGCGTAATTCCTCAATTATTTCAGGTAATAGTAACACTAATAGTAACAAGGTGCAGCAACACAACTTTGGATGTTGTTTCTATGATTCATCTTGAACTGCTGTCATGTCTGTTTTACACTATTGTTATTGCAACTAATAGAAAACTAATTACAAAATATTGAATTAATAAAATTCCTTTCACTTTGATTTAGCCAACAACTAAAGTGATTTCCAAGTAAAACAAAACAGAAACAAAGATAACTTATTATAGTGCATAATTTGATGACACACAACCAAACACAAAAAGTGTGTTTCATTCTATTCTGAAAAAGAGCTAATATCACTTAGTTTAATTTTATATATTAAGGACGTGAATGTTACTGTTATGCACTCGTCCAGTAACATGTTGTTAGTTACCAATTTCAGTTGAGTTCTCTGTATTTCTACATTAATTGGCTTAAAAAATGTTCAGTTCCAAACATTTCGTTCAAATGAATCTGTGCAAGCGTCTATGGGATGGTTTTGATTTCAGATCTTTACTTTCATTATAAGTGAGGTTTTTTTTTTACCTCATCCTGCCAAGGTCTTAAAGTGTGTCCGTATGTTTTGCACAGATGTGTTTAGGTGTAGGAATGCATTGTAAAAGTTACAAAACAACAATCTGTTAACAAGTCAAGCTATTAGCACTGAATTGATAGTAACAACAAGCACACTGTATTCTATATCCCAACCAATGTATCACAGTTTCTCAATACTCCCTGCAGGTATCTGGCTGGCTGAAACAAGGATTACTGTAAGTGCCTTTAAAATGTATTATTCACCATGCACAGAAAAATAAAGCCTCTTGATAATATGCTGGTGCGAAAGAGCATCAGCTAGATGAACCGTATAATATTTGGGACATTGCATAACATGTCACTTGTTATAGTCTTCATGAATTCACTTAGAACACTTTTACTTGCTTAATCCTTTGTGATGATAGTATTAAAAAATATATAAAAGGACCTATGTAGTGTTACATAACATGTTATTTTGTCAAAGATATTGCTTGCTGTGACTGGACTTTTACAGAGCTCCAACTCATTCTGAAGCATCCTTTCTGCCTCCAAAGAAAAGCTGATTCAGGTCTCTTCAGACCGGTTTTATGACGTTAACGTCACTCAAGTGTCTGGGGGTGAAAACAACACATCGTCCTGAATGGCAGCACATGCAGGATCACTAAATACGAATTCCCGTCATTCCTGTGACTCATCCAGGCAGGACCTGCTGAGTGGAATTCCTGGTTTCCATGCCACATCTGGACAAGTAATCTGATAGTGTGTAAGGCCCATTAACATGGCCTAGCCAATGCTAACAAGTCACACTGAACCTTAACCTTTTGGTCTGTATATCATTTACGTAATTCACTGGTAAAGTAATTACGTCTCTTCTCCGAACCTTACAGGTTTGATGGATATTATACTACTGCATGTGCAAGTATAGTTTGATAAGAGTGGCACATACATCTTCTGAGGATGTGACTCATATGCTCCCATAAGTCATGTGACACAAAGTCCTCATGAATTATTAATAATGCCTTGCAGTGTCCTTCTGCCAGCTTCTAGGAGGTGAGTTCTTGTTCTGCAGGGATACAGTCTTGATTGATCCTCCACGATAACAGAGACAAGGAACATCCAAACATAAAACTGAACCCACAAACCTGCTTGTTGCACTTTTGGTTACTAATGTAGCCACAAAAGTGCAAATGTGTATCATTGCTGTTTGGAATTAATTATTCAGACTGGCAAAGAGGAAATACTTTTGACTCATCCTTTTTATGAGAAGCTTTTTGCTGAACCAACTTATAAAAAGCATAACGATTTTGATAGACCTTTGGGGTCAACTGGTCATACCACAGATACCACAGATCCATTTAAAATAGAAATACAAAGCATGACAGCCCTATTTATTGGCAGCAGCATAGCACCAAGATATAATTGATGTGTATTCTACTGTGAGGCAAATAAACTAAACCTTCTCAAAACTGACCATCTACATTATCTTAAAATGTTTCCTGCATACTGAGACGTCATATACTGGCAGGCAAAACCCTGTTTTAAAAATAGTTTTAGCGACAAGCAGCTTTTATTCATTCCAGATGTCAGATGTTTTTTGTGCCATGAAACCTGCTCTGCTGCTGGCGAGAGAGCTCACTAAGCCACCAGAGAACAGCTCTGAAAATACTTTGAACCATATTTGGAAAGTATCCATCCAATTATATCATTCACTTCATTCCTTCATGTTTTTCTTTAATGAATAATACACTATTCCTGTTGAAAATACAAGTGGGACACTGTCACCCATTTACTTTCCTTCCCAGAAATATGTCCTGTCGTGTGTCTTTTTCCCAACAATCAGTTCCTATCGCATTTCTGTTTATTTAGTCCAAAGTGTGGCAATGACTGTTAATAGTTTTATGAGACCTCTGTAGTTCTTTGTATGAATGTGTGTCCTGAGCATGGTGGAGCATGTGCATGAAGTGGTTAACAGTTTGTATGATTTACTGTAAGTTAGCTTGAGAGAAATCTCTATTGGACTCTCTGACCTCTTTTCGATTCAGAAGAACAGAAACTTTCTCAGCAGACCCTCTGCCCCTCCTTCTCCATGGAGCAACAATAGACATCTGCTCCTAAAAATTGCCTCTCTATGTGGAAAAATACATGGATTTCCAAACCCTTTCAAAGAAGAGAGAAGCGAAATTTAATGAGAACAGAAATGTGTTTGACACATCTATAAAGAAATTAGGCAACATCTGGCAGTATCTTGTTATAGGAAATAACAATTGTTTATTCATTCTGTGTATATGTGAGTACAGTTTTGTGTGTGTCATGAAAAGGAGAAAGTGATGATTAATAGAGCATTGGAACCCACATTATGTGTATCATCTAACCAAAATGTTATATGTTATTTTGTGGAAAAGTACTGTACAATTATACACTTCCAACTGACTAGCAGAATGACTGAATGTAGTGTAATGTTGTGTTAAAAGTAATATTATTACTTAACTTATAACTCCATGTTTCCCTTTTCCCCAAAATTCAGAATCCAGTTTTGCTTGTTAAAATCAAAGTAATGGGAATATTTCCAGCTTCTTAATGTAAGCGTTT